CTCGGCATCCACTCGCCAAGCCGCGTGTTTGAAAGCTTTGGCATCAACATCGTGGAAGGCATGATCAACGGAATCGCCAGCATGGCCGGTGCACTACGCGACCAGGTCATGGGCATGGCGGCCAATATCGCCGGATGGGTGCAAGAAGCGATGGCCAGCGCCTGGGATTCCATCAGCGATGGTGCCAGCCGCGCCATGCAGTGGGGCCGGGACACAGCGGCCGGAATGGGGCAAGGCATCCGCGACGGTGCCAGCCGCGCAACCGAAAGCGCCGCCAACCTCGCCAACGATGTCACCAGCACCGTGCGCGGTTGGTTGGATATCCACTCCCCCAGCCGCGTGTTTGCCACCATTGGCGGCTACATTTCCCAAGGCTTGGCCAACGGCATTGAAAACGACGCCGACAGCCCCGTTAAGCAAGTACGTAGCGTCGCCAGCCACATGCGCGATGCTGCAGCGGGATTAATGCTAAGTGCCGGGATTGNCAATTGCCGGGGCTTCACACCCGCATTGAGCGCCCTGAGCAACCCACGCTACAAGCTCTGCAGGTAGAGCACCCCACGCTACCAGAGCTAAGCGCACCAGAGATTCAGCGCCCAGAACTGCCACAAATGCCCCGCTTGATGAGCGAGGTGGCAACACCCGAAACGCCCACGTTGGATGCACTACGCATCGAACGGCCGGAGCTGCCCCCACTCCCCAGCCTGAGCGCGTTACAGATCCACGCTCCCGACCTGCCGCGCCTGTATAGCGAGGTGGCCACGCCAGAGACACCCACACTTGATGCGCTGCGCATCGAGCGGCCAACGTTTCCCTCATTACCCAGCCTGGGCGCGTTAGAGATCCAGCAGCCTGCGTTGCCGGAAATACCTACGCTCTATAGCGAGGTGACCACGCCAGAGATCCCCACGCTGGATGCAATGCGCATCGAGCAGCCAACGATGCCCGAGCTGGGCGCGTTACAGATCCAGCAGCTCCCGTTGCCAGAAATGCCCCGCCTGATAAGCGAGGTGGCCACACCAGAAACGCCCACGTTGGATGCACTACGCATCGAACGGCCGCAGTTGCCCGCATTACCCGAGCTGGGTGCGTTAGAGATCCAGCAGCCCGCGTTGCCAGAAATACCTACGCTCTATAGCGAGGTGGCCACGCCAAAAATCCCCACGCTGGATGCAATGCGCATCGAGCAGCCAACGCTGCCCGCTTTAACCAGCCTGGGCGCGTTGCAGATCCAACCGCCCACGTTGCCAGCACTGCCCACGCTCTATAGCGAGGTGGCTACGACAGAAATATCCACGCTGGATGCACTGCGCATCGAGCAGCCAAAACTGCCCGCTTTACCCAGCCTGGGCGCGTTAGAGATCCAGCAGCCCGCGTTGCCAGAAATACCTACGCTCTATAGCGAGGTGACCACGCCAGAGACACCCACGCTGGATGCACTGCACATCGAACGGCCAGAGCTGCCCGCGTTGCCCGAGCTGAGCGCGTTAGAGATTAGCGTGCCGGAAATGCCCCGCTTGATAAGCGAGGTGGCCACGCCAGAAACGCCCACGCTGGATGCATTACGCATCGAACGGCCAGAGCTGCCCGCGTTGCCCGAGCTAGGCGCGCTAGAGATCCACGTGCCGGAAATGCCCCGCTTGATAAGCGAGGTGGCCACGCCAGAAACTCCCACGCTGGATGCGCTGCACATCGAACGACCGGAGCTGCCCGCTTTACCCAGCCTCGGCTCGCTAGAGATCCACGTGCCGGAAATGCCCCGCTTGATGAGCGAGGTAGCCACATCAGAAATACCCACGCTGGATGCAATGCGTATCAAGCAGCCAACGCTGCCCGCTTTACCCAGTCTGGGCGCGTTACAGATCCAGCGCCCCGAACTGCCCAGCTTGGACACCCTGGCTTTCGAGTGGCCAGAACTCCCCCAGTTCGACCCGCTACGCATCGACACCAGCGGCGTACAGATTGACGCCCGCCCACCGCTGCAAAGCCACACCAGCCAGCCCAGTGGTGGGCTGGTGATTAACGGCGGCATCAACATCGAAATCAACGCCGCCCCGGGCATGGATGAACAAGCACTGGCACGGTTGGTGAATGCCGAAGTGCAGCGCGCCCTGCGCGATGCCGAACGCCGCGCCCAGGCATCACGCCGCAGCGCCTTCCACGATATTGATTAAGGTGACTCTAAAATGATGATGGTTTACGGCATGTTCGTCTTTGCACTCGATACCGCCGCTTATCAGGAGCTGCAACGGCAGACGCGGTGGCGGCAGGAAGCACAAGGCCGAGTAGGCCTACTGCCCGCCCGGCAGTTTCTCGGCCCAGGGGAAGACACCATTACCCTCACCGGCACCCTTCACCCCCAATTCACCGGTGGCCAACCCCACCTGGATCAGTTGCGCGATATGGCCAGCCAAGGCCACGCCTGGCCACTCATCGAAGGCACCGGCAAAAGCCACGGCTTTTTTGTGATGGAAAGCCTGAAAGAGAGAAAGGTGGCATTGATGCGCGACGGCGCCGCCCAGCAGATCGATTTTGATATG